TTTAAACCTCCAGCAATTTACTAAAAATAAAAGAAAGTACTAGTTGTGACTGTTTTACATAGTATGGGGAAAGGACCCAAAGCAAAAGTGCATCATCTTTAGAAGAATTTTTGTAAAAAGGGGGAGAAGAAGGTTTATTCGGGGGCGTTGCCAGTCCCCTACAACTCTGCAGATATGGTTCTCTATGATTTCATCAGTCATATAGGTTGATGTGACCACCACCACAGCCAGGAGACACATTTGCATCCTAAGGACCACTGAAATCACTTCCATGATACCAGCACTAGCTGTTTAGAACTTACAATAGAGTATTTATTTTTTTTGCCACGAGACACACTTGCATCTCAATACCAGTGAAAGCACTTCCACGGCACCAGCACCATCTGTTTAGAACTTAAAAATCAGAGTATTTCTTAAATTTTTTTATCAGCCCATTTAAAAAATTCCTGACTTTATGCTTCATTGTATGAGAATGTTCATATTTACAGTCTGAAGTATTATATCGAAGAGCTATTTCTTGCACGTTTTGTAAATTAGGTATGCCTTTGAAATAGAAAATTTGTATGGCCAGAAAAGTTGGAAACAAGGCTAGTGCAAATATGTAAAGAAGGCTTGCTCCAACTAGAGAGAATTTTTATCAACAAATTGGAATTTCCAAAGTAGAATTATAAACAAATTGGAATTTCCAAAATCACATGGTGAAAGTTAATGTGTATTGGCTAAATATTCCTAATCCCATCCTTCAGTTTTCCTTCAGTGAAAGTTTTATCCTCTTCATCAAATATTATCTTTATAAAAAGTTATTATTTTAATATAATTTTTGTGATGTTTCTTTACAGGCAAAAATAATAATTTATTCTTAATGGGCCAAAGAAAAAATACAGGGTAAAGGAACTTGAATACTCAGCATGTAATAAAGGGGGAAAATAAAACACCTATTCAGAATGCACAAGAACTCTGTGACAGGATTAAAAGAGCACACCTGAGTGTCATTGGGATAGAAAAGAATGTGGAAATACAGGCTGATGGCATTAAGAACATTTTCAATGAGACAGTAAAAGAAAAATGTTCCTTTATCAGAAATGAGGGAGCATCCACATAGAGGGGCCATATAGGGCCCCAAATAGACAAGGTCAAAATAGAACCTAAGACACATGATAATCAAAATACCTAACATAGAAAAGAAGGAAAAAGCACTAAAAGCTGCAAGAGAAAACCATCAGGTCTCATTTAGGAGCAAGCCAGTAAGGCTCACTTCGGGCTTCTCAACTCAGATTCTACAGAAGAGGCCTGGAGTGAGATATTCAAAGAAAGCTCTTAAAGAAAAATTTTGTCAATCAAGATTTCTAAATCTAGCAAAGCTCTTTCAAAATCGATGCTGAAAGAAAAGCTTTACATGACAGCTAGAAGAATTTATGATCACCAAAGAAGCACTACAAAGAATACTCAAAGATAAACTGCACAAAGATATACCCAAAAATAACCCCCAAAGCTCCTAAATAGGTGATGACCATGAGAAGAGCAACCAACTAAATGAAAATTAAGACATAATTAAATGTAGTAAACAAGCCAAAATATCAGAAATCTACAAACACATATCCATAATAACCCTGAATGCATATGGTCTCAACTCCCCAGTTAAAAGACACAGATTAATGGATTGGATCAAAAAACAAGATCTAACAGTTGTTTGCAACAACCCCTATCATCATCAGACAGATCATCCAAATATAAAGTTAATAAGGATTTTTCTGACTTTAATACTATAAATCAAATGTACTTAATAGACATCTACAGAATATTTCACCCCCATACAGCCAAATTTACCTTCTTCTCAGAAGCTCATGGAATCTTTTCCATTGTGACGTCACAATATAACTCACAAATATTATATATTTCTAGGTCATGATATAAGTCACAAATATATATATATATATATATATATATGCATCTTATCAGATCATAATGAAATAAAACTAGAAAACAAAGCAAAAAAAAAAGAAACTACATAAGCACATGGTGATTGAACACCACTATTTAAATAAAATATGATCATAGAATATATGAGAAAAGAAAACCAGAAATTTTTAGGAAACAAATAAGAGATACAAGACATCAAAATCTCTTGGACAGTAGGAAAGCAGTTCTAAGAGAAAAAATGAGTACCTACATTAAAAAAATAGAGATATCCCAAATAAACTTATGTTCCACTTCAAGGACTTAGAAAAGGAAGAGCCAATTAATTCCAAAATGATCAGAAGACAGGAAATAATATCAGAATTAATGAATAATATTCATTAATTTGGATTAATGAATAGAGAATAAAAATATACAGGATCAATGCAATAAAGAGTTCTATGGAAAGCTTAATAAGATTGATAAACCCTTAGCAAAATCAACCAAAAGAAAGAGAGAGAAGACCCACATAAACAAAATTAGAGATTTAAAGGGAGATATCATCACAGACACTTCTAAAACACACACAATCATTAGAAATTATTTTGAAATTTTATACTCCAATAAACTGGAAAATCCATAAGATATCAGCAAATTTCTGGACAAATATGACCTGCCCAAGTTGAACCAGAAAGACATAGTAAACCTAAACAGACAAATATCAAGTAGTGAAATTGCAACAGCACAAAACCTTCCAACAGAGGAAAGCCCAGAACCCAATGTATTCTCAGCCATGTTCTACCAGACCTTGAAAGAAGAACGAACACCAGTCATTCTCAATTTATTTCATTCCCAAATATATTCTATGAACACAGTATAATCCTCATACCAAAACCAGACACAGACACATCAAGGAAAGAAAACTGCAGACCAATATCACTAATGAACATAGATACAAAAATCCTTGATATTAGCAAGCCACATTAGAAATCACATCACAATAGACCAGGATCAAGTGTATTATCCCAGGCATGCAAGGTTGATTCAACATATGCAAATCAATAAAATGTAATTTGCCACTCAAGCAAAATTAAGAACAAGAATCACATAATCATCTCAATAGATGTAGAAAAGGCCTTGGATAAAGTTCAACACCCCTTCGTGTTAAAAACATGAATGGAGAAACTAGGAAAAGAAAGAACTTACCTCAACATTACAAAGGCTGAAGATGACAAACCCAAAGCCTGTACTGAATGGAGAAAAACTGAAAGCATTTTCTGTAAAAGCAGGAACAAGACAAGGATGTTCAACCTCACCACTTTTATTCAATATAGTTCTTAAAATCCTAACAAGAGCAATCAGGCAAGAGAAGGAAAATAAAGATTTACAAATAGGAAATGAAGAAGTCAAACTTTCTGTTTGCTGATGACATGAGTCTATACTTAGAAGGCCCCAAACACTGCACCAGAAGACTAGAGCTGATAAATTAATTCAACGAAGTAGCATGACACAAGAGCAACATTCATAAATCCATAGCTTTTCTGTATTTCCACAGTGACTCTTCTGAGAATGAAATCAAGAAAATCATCCCATTCACAATATCCTAAAAAGATTCCTAGGAATTAATCTAACCAAGGAGGTGAAGGACAGCTATAATAAAAATTGTAGAACACTGAAGATAGAAATATAAAAAGACCTTAGAAAATGGAAGACCTCCCATGATCTTGGATAGGCAGAATTAATATTGTTAAACGACCCTAACTACCAAAAGCCATATACATATTCATTGCCTTCCCCATCAAAATACCACTGACATTCTTAACAGAACTAGAAAAAAATGTCCTAAAATTCATTTGTGAGAATAAGAGACATAGAATAGATGGAGCAATTCTGAGAAAGAAATATGATACATAAGACATGACAATACGTGATCTCAAATTATACTATAGACCTATAGTAAAAACAAACAGTCTAGTACTGACATGAAAGTAGAAATGAAGACCAGTCTAATAAAATACACAACACAGAGACCAACTCACATACATACAGCCATCTGACACTTGACAAAGGTGCCAAAAAATATATGCTGGAGAAAAGACAGCCTTTTAAACAATGATGCTGGAAAAACTGCATATCCATATGTAGAAGAATGAAACAAGATCCCTATCTCTCACCCTGCCCAAAAGTCAAATCAAAAGGGATCAATAACTTAGGAATTAGACTATAAATTTTGTAACTGCTAGAAGAATACCTAAGGTCAACATTCCTTTATATTGGTGCAGGCACTCTCAAAACTCAAGAAATAAAACCAAAAATTAATAAGTTGGATGCCATCAAATTAAAAACTTCTGCACAGCAAAGAAAATGATTAAGACCATAAGGAGAGGACACAAAATGGAAGAAAATCTTTGCCAGATGCTTCTCTGACAGGGTATTAATATCCAGAATATAAAAGAAACTCCAAAAACTTAACACCAAAAAAAAAAAATCAGTAAATGGACAAAAGAACTAAATAAATCTTTCTCAAAAGAAGAAACACAAATGATCAACAAATAAATAATAAATATTCAACATCTCTAGCAATCAGGTAAATACCTATCAAAACCACACTAAGGTTTCATGTCACTGCGGTGAATGACAATGATCAACTACGAATAGTAACAATAAACGCTGGCAAAGATGTGGGACAAAAGGTTTGCTCATACATTGTTGGTGGGACTGCAAATTAGTGCAATAGTTCAGTAAAGTAGTATGAAGATTCCACAAAAATATAGGAATAGAACCATCTTAGGTTCTGCAAGTTTTGGAGTGTGTGTGTGTGTGTGTGTGTATTCTCACTGTGTGGGTAGATTTGAAAAATGTATACTGTTTCTATTGATTGTAGTGGTAATATTTATACAATAGAAATCAGCAAATATGTACTACAAATTGGGGCCTTTTTGTGTTTGGGAAGGAGTGGTAGGTCCTGGCCATCTTTTTTTTACTCATTCACCAGCATACCACTGGACATTGAATCTGAGGCATTGCTGGAGATCTTATTTCTTTCCTTTTCTCCTTGAAGTCTGAGTTTCCAAGGAATTTCATACAATTTTAACAATAGGTAAGCTCTTGTCTTCTTTTTGCCCTCTGGTTTCAGGCTAAAGGAGATCCAAATGAGTGAATATGATGCTGCAACCTATGAAAGATTTTCAGGTGCTGTTCGGCGACAGGTGCAGTCCCTCCGAATCATCTTGGATAATTTACAGGTAATCTTCCATTTGTGGATCAAGAAATAACTTGGGCCCAAATCTGGACACTTCCCCAAACTGTCATAGATGGTTAGCTGAACCCTAATCAGCCAATCAGAAAAAAATTAATCAGTGCCAAAGTGTCTATATTAAATTATGGTCTCACCACCATGCCTTAGCTGAGCAAAACACACCTAGTTAAGTGTTCCAAAGGAAAATATATTATCTGACCTTTCTTCCTATCCAAGAAGCAGTAAAATTACCAGTAACCCTAGCAGACACTAAACTTTCTCATTCCCCTCATGTAAGATCTTAGGGCATCTCACCTTTACTGGAAATTCACAAATATAAGTCATTTTACTCTGAAGAAACAGAGGAGCATTCTGGATTATCCAGGTGACTATTCACTATCCCCTGCACCCCCTCTTACTGCTTTGTACTTGCCCCTGCACTGCCTGGATCTTTTCAGTTTCACAAAACTCTTGAGCCAGTTGATACTGCTATTGCTCCTAAAAATATTAAAATGTCAATATTTCCTAAGCAGAGATATTGTTTCTGGTCAGTTTGCACAAGTAATTAAGGAAGGGTTGAATTCATACAAGTTTTCTTTTGCTTAATGCATCATTGAGCACTCACAAATGTTTGAAGACTGAAACCAGCTGGTGAAGCAGTACTCTAGAAAGAAGAGACCTCTGAGTAGGGGACAGACTCAAGTACCAGGCTGCTTGGAAAATGGCAAATAGTATCTACAGTGACTAGTGTTCAGAGTTTGGGGATGTGCTTGGGGGTAGAAACTAGTGGAAGAGAAAGCTTAGGGAACAGGAATCCTAAAAGGTTGTGAGCACCATGCAGAGGCTGATATGTCTGTAACCAGGGAAGAGCCATGAAGATGCATGAGCAAAGGAGTGGCATGGTCTGTCTTCATCAGGAAATGGCATGGCCAAGAAGGGAGAAGGTTGCAGAGAAGGAGGTGAAAGCCAGAAATCAAATCATAAAATCATTTCAGTTGTTTAGGAGAGAAGTGATAGGAACTCAAAACAGGGGCAAATGAAGTGAAAATGGAAAAGTTGTGACAAATTCAAAAAGCATGTTAGTGGCTGGAAAAGAAGACAGTGACTAACTGTGGCGGAGGGGAGTGGTAAATGGAGCAGAGAACTTTCCAACCGTGGAGGACAGACCTAGAGAACACAGGAAGAGGGAAGCCTTGATTAAAGAAAGCACATGTTTGTATGTTTTCTCACTACTAGCACACCTATGCTGAAGTGTCAAACATGATATTTGAAGTTTTTAATATGTGAACCATAATGGGGTGGAGGGAAGTGGAGGAACTTTTGATTCGGCAAAGGTGAGGGCAGGGAGGGGCTAAGGGGATAGGAAAGATGGTAGAATGAGATGGACAACATTACCCTAGGTACATGTATGATGACACAAATGATGCATCTCTACATCATGTACAACCAGAGAATTGAATTGCATTCTGCTGTCATTTACAACTAAGTAGAACAAATCAAAACAAGAAAAAAAATCATTCTTGCTAAAAATATATGTGAAGAACTATGAATTTAATAATAAACAGTACCTAAATTCCCATGTTCTGTATGTGAAAGTAATAGAACTATATTTCTTTTTTAGAAGAACCATAAGTTAGATGTTTCATATAATGTAATATAGTCACACAATCTAATTTAATAATGAGTTCTTGTTAGTGTAAATTTAAAATATAATACAAGGGGCTGGGGATGTGGCTCAAGTGGTAACGTGCTCGCCTAGCATGTGAGGCACTGGGTTCGATTCTTAGCACCACATAAAAACAAAATAAAGATATCGTGTCCACCTAGAACTTTATTCACTAGGACTATATAATAAAAAAATGTACGACTCCTGTTGTAAGTAAAAGTATATATTTAAATTCAGTGTGATCTAAAAAGAACAAACTAAAAATACTAAAAACTAAATAGAGTGCGTATTTAGTATTTCTAGAAGTATTTCAGTGAATACAATAAAATACAGAAGACTTTGCAAACACATTGAAAATAATAAATATTTCTTTTTAAAAAAATGATTATTTTTTTTCAGTGTTAAGGATCCAACCCAGTGCCTCACACATGTTAGGCAAGTGTTCTGCCACTGAGCCACAGCCCCCAGCTCTGAAAATAATAAATATTTCTATTCAGACTTCAACAACTTTTTAAAGAACTCCCCCTCCAGCCCATGGTCCCCAAAGGCATCCATTCTGACAGGCTTTTTCCTGTTTTGAGTTTCCAAGTATTGGTTGATGGGCTAGAGGATAAATAAATTTTTCCCCTAATTTATCTGCAAATTATAAACCTGAGAACTATAGAACAGTGCTACTGTTAGAAAAATATTTTTTGTGCCCAGTATCTCTGGATCAAAAGACCGAAACATGCTTTCACTTCTCAAAAACAAAAGCTACTGATTCTTGATCCTGAAAGTGTCAGTAACAAGCATGACCCAAAGTAATTCATTTGCTGCAAATAAATATTAAAATAAAGGGAGTTTACTGCATACCAACCAGGATGGCTAAAAAAATTAAAACTATTAATATCAATGTTGGTGAGAATATGCAAATGCAACCCTCATACACTGCTCATGCTAATGTTAATTAGACAAACCACCTTAGAAAACTGAGTAGCAATATCTACTAAAGGTGAATATATCCAGTCTTGTGACTCAGAGCTTTCCCACAACCAGAAATGCACATGTATCTTCTCTAGAAAACACATTCAAGAACATTTATGGTTGCATTATTCAAAATAGTCCCAAAATGAATACAGCAGGATTATAGATGGAATTATAAATATAATAAATTGTGCAAGTCATACAATGTAATAACGTTAAACCTGTGAGAGAGAATACAGTACCACAAGATACAACAATATCCCAATATCCATGGGATATTATTGAGCAAAGAAGCCAGAGACAAGAGTGTATGTTCTTTGACTCCATTTTTATTAAGTTCAAAATCAGACAAACCTATTCAATGCTACTAGACATCAGAATAAATGTTACCTTTGCAAAGAGTAAAATCCAGGACAGGGCCCTGAGAGACTTCAGAGGTATAAGTAGTTAAATGGTATTTTCACAGCACAACAGTTCGTTAAGATCTGCACTTACGATTTCTGTACTTTATTATTAGCATATCATACAGGAATTTGACCAAAGAAGAAGGGAAAGAGGAAGAGGAAGGTGCAGGGAGGGAAGGAAGGAGGAATGGCAAGAAAAAGTAGCATATTACTGGAAAAAGCATATCCCTCCCTTTCACTCATGCTGCAAAAATATAATATTCTAAGAGTAAAATATTTTCAATACAGTAACCCCTTTACCAAGGAAAGTAATAGGAACATATGTCCTAAACAGGAGCCCCTTCTGTCATTTTTATAAAGTATTATTAACATGAATACTAAAAGAAGAATTCCACGGTGCTATTGAACTATTACATAAACTCCACTGGGTGATGGCTCTGTTTCTCCTCATCACTCTGCCATTTCCCCTCAGCCTCCCAACTCCATGTCACCTATAATTCCCTTCTTGTGCTGTGAATCTATTACTGCAATTTCTGCACCCTATAATGCTGGTTAGGAATTGAAATCACTAAGTCAAGACTTCACAAAGTCTTGTGAAGTTAACACACAGGAGTTAACATTTGTTCATTTTGTGGTCTAGAAGACCTGCCTCATAATAAATTAACCTTGAATACCAAGGACTAGAGCTGACCAGTAGGATTTCTTTCTCACAAATGTACTAAAGAAAATCGAATAAAAACTTCTTGTGGTAAATGATAAATTCCCTAGAATGAGTTAGTCACATACAATAATGTCTAAAATAACAAACTACTTCAGATCACTATATTACAGTGGGATCTTTATAAATAGATTTGCTAGTTCATTTTTTTAGGACTGAATAGTATTCTATTGTCTGGATGTACCAACAATTTAATTTATCCATTACCTATTGAAAAACATTTTAGTTGCTTCCAAATTTTGGCAGTTATACATAAAATTGCCATAAATATCACGGCAGAGTTTTATGTAGACAGAAGTTTTCAACTCATTTGTGTAAATAGTAAGGCATGCAATTGGTGGATGGTGCGGTAAGAATATGTTTAGTTTCAGAAGAAGTGGCCAAGCTGTCTTCCCATGTGGAAACACCATTTTTAATTCCCATGCACAGTGAGAGACTCTGCATCCTTAACAACATTTGTTGTTCTCAGAGTTTGGGGTTCTGATCATTCTAATACGTTTGGAGTGATATCTCATAGTTGTTTTATTTTGATGTTCCATATGTTACATATATTAACATATGTTTAAGATATTTTCATATGATTATTTACCATCAATCTGTTTTTGTTTTGGCAGGTACTGGGGATTAGACCCAGGGGAGATGAACCTAAGCCATATTGCCAGCCCTTTTTAAATATTTTTTATTTTGAGACAGGATCTCACTAAGTTGCTTAGAGCCTTGCAAAGTTGTTGAGGCTGGCTTTGAACTCATGATCCTCCTATTTCAGCCTCCCAAGCCACTGGGATTACAGGCATGTGCTCACCACGGCTGGCCAATGTGACTATTTTAATGAAGTGCCTTCTCAAGTCTTTTGCCCATTTTTAAAACTTTTTCTTTACTGTTGAGTTTTAACAGTTTTTTAGATACTGACCCTTTATTAAAATTACCATATTTAATGTAGATGTATTAATGTAAATAAATGGAAACCCCTAGGTCACCAGCATAAGATTTTAATTTTGGTGGGCAGGTTCTGGAACCCCACTGTACCAGGTATATCTTAGAAATGTATCTTTCCCAGTTGTATATTCTTCATAAGAACCCCATGATCTCACATGGAAATGGGGCATACTGGAGCAAAGCTGCTGTCATAAAAACTTGATACAGAGTTACAGGTGGTAGAAGGAGCGAGTAAGCACAGACTTCCAGAATACTTTCCACTATTTCAATAATCAGACAAGACAACCTTGATTGCTTAGTGCCATCCTCCCCGTACCAAAAATTGGGACTTAACTCCTGTCTCCTCTTTTTTGTCATTCCTGGAATCAGGAGTGGGTAATCCCTCAGACTGCCAGGATGATTTATGCTTGGAAACAACACCATGGATGACCATTTAGGTACCTTTCAATGTGACATTCTAATACTCTTGGAGGTACCAAGCTGCAGAGCTCAGTCTTCTAATGCCTCTCATAGATGAAGACAGACTCTCACAGGATTGTCAAATGGAAAAATAAGCAGTTAAGAAAGTAAAAGAAAACATGGTCACAGTGGTCAGCCACCATCAAAATGGCATGGAAGTTAATTTTTGAGCTGGGTTTAAGAGCAATACAGAATTAGTATCAGAATAAAATTATATAACATGTTTGGTAACACATGTGCCATTGTTATCATCAAACATTGGTTTTCTAAGTTTCATAAATATTTTGACAAAGCAATGCCCTGATCACACCCTTCCCAGTCCTCCTAGCTGCTACATGCTTTTATTAACCAGTGATGATTTCACTGTTGTAAAGGCTACCCAGTAAGTAATTTTTGTGATTTTTAAATGCAGATCGTAATTATTATAAAATTAAATTTAAACCCCATCATTTTACCATGGAGGAATTATAAAATGCTGAAATTCTAACTGTAAGTCCACTCTCCTCTCATATTTTGGTGTTTCTAGAAATGAAATACATCCTATAATCTTGCTTACATGCATTAAAACATTTCAACTATTCTTCCCCCTTCTTATGGTAAATATACTCATGGGCTGCGATAAACACATGCCTTTATTGGGATATTACAGTTCTTTATCATTTAACTATCACCTGATCTAGTTGTGTTTTGGCAAAATGTTATGTGAAAATACCTTAAAAAAATAATTCAGAAAATTTCAGAATATAGAAAATCAGAAACGTGTGGGGTACAAAATGTTCACATACTGTTGTTTCCAGCTGTTTCCATGTACACAATAAGACACGGAGAACTTGAGTAGCAAATTTCTTTCCAAAAGGAAGACTTCTGAAGATCACATTCTCTCTGGGCTTTCTGACAATGTCAACAAGTTCAAGCTGATTATTTTGGTACCTAATAAATTTTCTAGAAGAACAGAGACAGAAAACCCATAGGAAATGCATCATCATTATCTTTCCAGATATAGAACTTTCTTCAGGGGGTCATTTTCATACTGTCTTCCTGTCCATATGCCCTTCAAGTGTTCCATATGTTAAAACAATTAAAACTAACAAAATACACATACATTGCATTTCTTTGTCAGCAGAGCAGAAACCAGTCCATTTCTGTAGTTGTGTTTATGCAGAAACATCATGTATTGAAAAGTTCCCTGGTGTGTTTCCTGTTATTCATGCAGAAAGTGTGTCAAAGATCCTGCAGAACTCGTTAAAAATAAAGACTTATGAATATGTGTTTGTGTGTCCTAGGCTAAAGGTAAAGAAAGGCAGTGGCTAAAACACCAAGCTACTGGAGAACTAGATGATGCCAAGATCATTGATGGGCTGACTGGAGAAAAAACCATCTACAAACGTCGGGGTGAGCTGGAGCCACAAGTAAGTAGTGGAGGACTGGTAGCATCAGACTTGCTTAGTTTGGCCTTGTTTCTAGAAACTCACTTTCTTGAGTTGTGTGTCAAAACATCATAAATTCTGAATGTGGCAACCAAGGAAATCATTATAGAAGAAGAAGGAGAAGGAGAAGAAGAAAACGATGAAGAAAAATAAATAAATGTTATACTATTTATTGTACCTGTTAAGGTCTCAGCAAGAAACACAAGGCACACTCATACTGGGTAATTTAAGTAGCAGTGAATACAGAAGAATTTAGAGAGTATTTACAAAGATAAGAGTAGATTTATGAAAGCCAAAAGATTCACTGTGGTAACCCAGGCTGACATCAACAGGGATCTGACTCTGCCCTGAAATCTAACACACAGAGCAAAAGAGCAGTTCTGGAATCTGGAGAAAGTAGTTCATGGAGCTGTGGCCTTTGGTAAAGGTAGAGCCAACCCCTGGGCAACAGCAGAGAAAAAGCTGAGGTAACAACCCCCCAGCCTCTCACTTTGATGTGACAGTGCCTCGCATTGGCAGAAACCTCTGGAAGCCAGTAGCGAGCTGCCCATGTGGCTCATAGACCCACTCCTGGGACACAGAGCAGGTACCCTGGAAGGGAAACTGAGGGCACCCTGTTGTCTCTGAATCCTAGAGTATTCCTCAAGTGAGAGCAATAGAGCCATCTTGGTGGTTTTCTACTATTCTGTACCTTTAAAGATCTGTGTCCATCATGGGATTTAAGAAATTTTTTTTTTAAGAGAGAGAGAGAGAGAGAATTTTTTAAATATTTATTTTTTAGTTTTCAGTGGACACAACATCTTTATTTTATTTTATGTGGTGCTGAGGATTGAACCCAGCGCCCCGCACATGCCAGGCGAGCGCGCTACCACTTGAGCCACATCCCCAGCCCCTTAAGAAAATTTTAGGAAATAAGGAATTCTCCTTTAACTCTCATTGTGTTAAGTCAAGTTTCAGTTAGCTATAATTTTGAAAACTTTGCCATATAATGGCAACACAGTGAAATATTAGGTCTCTTGATTTCCTATAACCCTACATAACCAGAACTGCCAAGTTCCCACTGAGAGCTGGGGGAGCAGTGCCTGGAGAGAGCAGGCAGAGTCCATCTACTTAAATGTGTTCTCAGAGAGGATCTGGTGGTAATTTGGGGAGTTCTTATTTCTGTGTCACTGGGATGAGTCAACAACTGTGTTCTTTACTGACTCATTGTGGTCAACAAATGTGGTTGGATATATATGAAATTGTGAGCAGTCATGAAAGCCTGTGTGGTACGATTATTCATTTGGACACACTCAAAAGTTTTGAAGAAATATATTGAATTGGCTCCAAACCATTATCCTCTAATACCCAGAGCATGTTTTGAAATTTCTGGCTCTGCCATTAGTGTTTATGCATGTCAGAAAGTTTACAGTAACAAAATAACCTGGAATTTTTCTTCTTTCGTTTGTCTCTCTCTCTCTCTCTCTCTCTCTCTCTCTCTCTCTCTCTCTCTCTCTCTCTCTCTCTCTCTTTCTTTCTTTCTGTAAAACTGACAAGATTTTTCAAAATTCTGCACACTGGCCAAAATTGTCCAAAATCAAACTGAGTCTCTCAAGTTTCACAGTTAATTGATAGTTGCTTCTATACATCAGCTTAAAGACACTTTCATGCTTTAAGCTGCCAAGAAAAGAAAAGAAAAAAAAACACTACTTCACTAACTCCAAGGAAATTTTGAAAGCTTGCTAAGGACAAAAATCATTTTAAAAAATTTTCCTTAGATTATTTGCCAGACTCTCTCTCCCATAACCTTGTTTTAAAAATCTAGTATTTCTTGCAAACTACATGGGAAATGGTTTTCAACTGACTGCATAACAGATACAAATAAAATTGATGTTGGCTTCCCTCCAAAATAACAGACTCCTGCTAGAATTACTGACTTCGAGGCATGGAGAGAAAATGACATGTTAGGATTTGTATCTTTCCAAATTATTTTAAGGCACCAGTCTCCAAAAGGCAACTTTACTAGACTAAATTGGGCCTTGCAAGGGCTCTATTCCAAAGGAAAATCTTTTTCATATGATCCTAACTTCCTTATGCAATTTCAATTACTGAAATTCAATCTACAGGCATCTTTCACCAGCCTGGTCAACCTTTTACAGGGTCAAGTCTGCAGCTGATCTGCCCACCTCATGACTAGCACTCTGGTGCCTGTGTGAGCTCCTCAGGACTGCAGCCATTGATGACATTGTAGTTCACAAGCTCTTTCTGTCATTCCCTCCCTCAGCTGGGGAGCCCACAAGAGAAACCCAAGCGTCTGCGCCTGGTGGTAGATGTGTCTGGCAGCATGTATCGCTTCAATGGAGTGGATGGCCGGCTTGAGCGCTCGATGGAGGCCGTGTGTATGGTCATGGAAGCTTTTGAGAACTATGAGGAGAAATTCAAGGTAATGGCATGATCTAAGGATGATGAGATTCATCCTTGACCACATCTGCACAGAGTGAGCCCTGAGTTATGGCATGATGATGATAGGTGCATGGAGACTTCATTTCCAGGCAGACAGAAATCTCCATCCTCTTACCAGCTCACTTGCCAGCAGAGAAAGTGAGACATTTGCTTCATCTGCTCTAATAATATCATAATTTAAAGGACTGATTCCTTCTGATTACTACCAAAGAAATTCCACATTGGGCGACAGTATCCATAAGGTTCAGAAAAAGGAACAGCCACTTAGAAGCACCAGAGTCTGTTGCCACTGTAACACCCATACCCACACACCGTTGCCCAATCACCAGACAGACAGCCTTCCAAGGTTGGAGCTCACCCCCAGAGCATGCTGTTCTCAGCATCACGGTCCCTTTGCACATGGGCAATGATTCTACAGAAATGAATGTCTCCCCAGCTGACAATGAAGATGACCACCCTGGCAGAAAAGCAGCCTCCCATTTAAGCTATTTCTATTTTGCTCTTGCAGAGTTTGATGCACACCCTCCATTTCAGAGGTTTGAGAGTAGAGACTAGATTTCCCCAGTACTTCTGTGTTATCCCCTGACAGAAGTCTACTTGTCTGCTCTTAATCAACCACAGAGAGCACCTGTTCCTCTGGCCCTTTCAGAGCAAATAAACTTGTGTTACCATGGTTATCACAAGCCATGCAATTATTATCAAAAGTTCAGTGGAGAGAAATGGTGTATGTGGGACATGTAAAGGACACAGAGTCTATTCATAGATACTCTAGACCTTATTCTGGGTCATACCTGTCCTAAGAAACAAGTAGTATTAGTTCATTCACTGTTTAGCTTGACATCCCACCAGCACCTCTGGTTGCTACCTGGGTTATGGATCTGTGTTATGCCTCATACAGCAAGAAACAGGTCATTTACTTTGGGCTTATTATTAAGCAGACTACCCATTGAATCTCCCAGGGTCCCTTATATGAATTAAGTTCTGCAAGAGAAATTCATTTTAGGATTGACTGCTGGGGAAAGGACAGTGAATGCTGTGGATTACTAAACTTTGCACAAGTACAGGATACTAATACAAATATACATAGACTTTCACCATGAGGAGTAGTTATGTTTCCTTGAAGAACTAGAATCGGTATCCCCTTGTGAGTATTGAAAACCATGGAACTATTCAAGATTCTCACTTTGTCCTAGTTTGCCAGGAAGCATGGCGCCAAAGTCAAAGACCCACTATGACAATTTTATTTTGTCTTATGTCTTGAAAATTTGTATTTAGCTTTTTCTTTCCCTTGACCTTCCCTCACCTCAGATGTAAGTTTGTCTTCATTTTTTTAATTTATTACTTTTTCATGTTTTGTAGGTCAAAGCAAAATATTTTTTAAAAATTTTATTTAAAAGTATTTCAGATCCTTTCTAGTATATAGTAGAGTTTGATTTCCTATATCACTTGGACCACAGGTGACCAGTGGATTTGTAAAAATCCATCTTAGTAGCATAAATAGCTGTATCACACCTAATGTTTAAAAACCTATGGATTTTTAAATTTTTCCAGAGCTCCTTACAGACCTTCCCTACACATTGTCACATTGGAGACTTTTGCTATCTTTCTACCACCCCCGACACATATCTGAGATTCTAGTGGCCACAGGCCACTCAGTCTCTGCTAAGCCTCCTATGGCCTCCTTTGTAGAGGAGAAGAAAGAGAGGGGTTGGAACTACTATATTCTGTGAGAGTTTTATATAACTAAATGTTTAGTGATTTAAATGAGGGGTACCCTTAGTATAAAATGTAAAAGGAACAAAAGGAGATAGAGTGAAGAATAAACTGTGTCCACCCCTCTCAGTTCTGAAATTCCTTGTCTAATGATGACCACGATTAGTGGGTTTTTGGTCACTTCTCAGAGATATTCAGTGGTATACATCACGTGGTTCCATTGCATGCCCTGTGATTTGTATGGTTATGTTGATCATATTCAAATCATTTCATCTCTCTGTACTTCCATTTTCTCATTTGCAAAGAGGTATAAGAACTAGGAAGGACTAATTTACTTAGAAAACATAAAATAATGTATGAACCAATGATTACTTGAGGAGCTCCTAGTGAAAATTTTGTATTCTTCAGACCAGAATTGCATCAAATGTCTTATCTTTAGGAATGTAGATTTGTGATCTGAGATTCCCCACCCCCAGTTCTAGATGATTCTTAATGTCTTCCCAAATTTATCCTTCAGCAGTAAAGTGTATTTGCTTTGAAACCTTCAGAAGCCTCAGGCCTGGTGTGGTGGTCTAGAGTCTTCCTGTCTCTCTTGGCACTTGCTGTTTTCTGTGTAGTGGTCTCAGCCAGCTGAGCTGTAGATCATTACTATCAAACTTCAGTGGCCTTGTTTAGAGTCTCTCTCCATGTTTTACTCCCCCACATTAGCATGACACATGCCAAACCACAGTGAGCCTAGAGCCAAAATTACTGAGTAGGAAAGGTAATTGCTAATTCAGTGGCAGGACACATTTCCAAAGCATTCAGAGTTTTAAAGTTTTTTATAATTGTTCTACCAACAAAATTTGATTATTCCCAGGCATAGTGTTCACAGTAGGTCATCTAAGACAAGAGCAACATTATTTGCTTATAATGAGCATAATTTTTAACATTCCTAGAACACTTAGAGACTACAGTGAAAGTTAGAATAGTAATGCTTATATGAACCATTTTATTTTAGTCAAGTTATTTCTTTTTCTTTTATCTTCATTTTTAATTGGTTCCTCATGATTTCACCCTGTCTGCTTCATCTCAGTACAGCTAAAAGCATTCCACTTATATTGGTAGAACATGTTGTTTTTTTAATATTTATTTTTTTAGTTATATTTGGACACAATACCTTTATTTATTTATTTTTATGTGGTGCTGAGGATTGAACCCAGGGCCTCGCACGTGCTAGGCAAGTACTCTACTGCAGAGCCACAACCCCAGCCCCATGATGTTTGATAAAGTGGACTTCTGAAATACTTCATTTGGAGAAATACTTCTGAAATACTTCATTTGGAGAAAGGACTTTACTGCTTAAAAAAAATATTAAAGGTCAGAGGTGTTAGAAAACCACTATTCCAGGACAAATGCTGTATTATAGCTTCTGAGGGCTTTCTTTTTGGAAGATGTGTCATAGATCCTTAGTTCAGTTAGGTGATTCACTCCTTGTTTGATAGGTAAAAACAAGGCCTACATATTCTTAAAACTAAGAGGAGCCAGCTTTTCATTCCATTTCTTGGGTATACTATTGAATATAGAACCTTGAGGGCAGGAATGACCTTGGAAATTATCTTCATCAACATCTCTTTTAAAGATGAGAAAACTAAGATTCAAAAAGCTTGAGTGCTTTGCCCAGTGTCATAGCTGGACCATGAAAAGCCAGGACTTCTGATGTCACTTCACAGAATATGAATGAGGAATTCAATAAGGAGATAGAAATATTGAAAAAGAACCAAACAGAAACCTTAGAAATGAAGGACAAAGTAAATAAAATAAAATGTTCAGTTGAAAGTCTGTCTAATAGTGTAGACCATGCTAAAGACAGAATCTCATACCTGGAGAACAAAGTAGCCTGCCTTGAAATTCAGACAGTAGTAAATGAACATAAAAATAAGTAACCATGATTAGAATATACAAGAATTCTGGGACTCATGAAGAAGTCAAATTTAAGAATCACTGAAATTGAGGAGGGTTGTGAATTGTGGCCTAATTGAATGGATAACACCTTCAGGGAAATAATAACAGAAAAATTTCCAAGCCTTCACAAGGAGATGGACATTCATATACAGGAAACATTCAGAACCCCAAATAGAAAACATCAAAAAAGAACCTCTCCACAGCAACATTAAAATTAAAGTACCTAACATAAAGAATAAGGATAGAATTTTTAAAGCCTCAAGAGACAAATTTCAGGTCACATTTAGAGGCAGGCCAATAAGAATCACTTCAGATTTCTCAGTACAAACTCTACAAGGCAATAGGGCTGGTTATGGTGTGTTCCAGGTCCTGAAAGAAAAATAACTATCAACCAAGACTGCTGTATTCAGCAAAACTATCATTCAAAATTGAAGATGAAATAAAAGCCTTCCAAGATATTCAGAAACGACAAGAATTCATGAATACCAAACCAGTACTACAGAACTTAAAGAAATATTCCATACAGGAAAAAAAAATCAAAAACCAACCTCAGAACACACAAAACAACAAATCTCATTTGAAGAGTAGCTAAGCAAATGAGAAAGAGAACCAAATTAAGTGTGATGAACAAACCAAAATGGAAGGAAATTATAAACATCTCTCTATAATAACATTGAATATAAATGGTCTCAACTCTTCAATTAAAAGACAGGCTGGAAGAATGGATTGAAAAACAAGACCCAACTTTGTGTTATTAGCAATAGACACAACATACAGGCAAAGAGAAACACAAGCCAAAAGGATGGAAATTGATACACCCTGCCAGTGGGGCCCCAAAACAAACATGAGTAACCACTCTCATATCTGACAAAGCAGACCTCAAACTGAAATTAATCAGAAGAGACAAAGAAAGTCACTTCATATTGGTACAGGGAGAAATCCAAATAAGAAGATAAAACAACAATAAACATTTATGCCCCAAATATGGCTGCAATTAATTACATAAAAAATGCTAATCAAATGAAGCCCCAGATAGACCTCAGTGCACTAATGCTGGGTGATTTTGAAACATCTCTCACGATTAGAGTGATCATCCAAAAGACTTTTTGTACCTGAAAAAAATTAGGTTCAAATGAACCTAAAAGTCATGTTTAGAATATTTCATCCAACAATAGCTGAATACACACTCATGGAACCTTCTCCAAAACAGACATTTTAGGCTACAGTGCAACACTTAAAAAATACAAAAAAAAAAAAATGCAGTAGTTCTTTGCATCTTATCAGAACACAATAAAATGAAATTAAAAATCAACACAACAATACCCTATATAATCACATGGAGTATGAACAATACTCTTTTGAATGATGAAATGACTATGGAAGAAATCAGAGGAAAAATTACAAATTATTAGATTCAAGTGAGAATAGTGATACAACATACCAAAATCTCTGAGACACTGTGAAAACAGTTCTAAGAGAAAAGTTTATAACTATGAGTGTCTACATAAGAAAATCAGAAACATCCCAAATAAACAACCTAATGATGCATCTCAAGGCTTTTGAAAAAGAAAAACAAACCAATTCAAAAACCGGTAAAAGGAAGGAAGTTATTAAGATCAGAGCTAAAATCAATGAATTTGAGAATAAAACACAATGCAAAGGATCGATGACAAAAAGTTGATTCTTTGAAAAGATAAACAGGATTGATTAACCTTTAGCCAAACTAACCAAAACAAGAAGAGAGAAAACCCAAATTAACAAAATTATAGAAGAAAAAGGAGAAATCACCACAGGCATCTCAGAAACCCAGCAAATCATTAGGGACTATTTTTAAAAACTTGCATTCCAATAAACTGAAAAACCTAGAAGAAGTAGATACATTTCTGGACAAATATGATCTCTAAAATGGAATCAAGAGGACATAGAAAACCTAAACAGACCAATAACTTGTAATGAAATACAAGCAGTAATAAAAAAGCATTCCAACAAAGAAAAGCATAGGACCAGAATTATTCTTGAACGGAATTCTACCAAAATTTTATAGAAAAACCAATGCCAATTCTTCTCAAATTATTCCATGAAATAGAAAGTGATAGATACTTCCAAATTCATTCTATAAAGCCAGTATCACATTTATACCCAAAACACATAAGGCTGTATGAAGGAGAGAAAACTACACACCAATATCCCTGATGAACTTAATCATATATTAGCAATTATGCTTAAATCATCACATAAATAGAATTAAGGGCAAAAATCACTGTAATATCAATAGATGCAGTAAAGGACTTCAACAAAATTTAGAACCCATTTATTATAAGAGCACTGAAAAAACTAGGGATAGAAAAAACCTACCTCAACATCATAAAGGCTATATGTGAAAATCCCAAAGCCAACCTCATAGTAAATGGGGAAAAACTGAAAGCATTTCCTTTAAAATCTGTGACAAGTCAAAGTAGAAATTCTAGTCAGAGCAATTAGTTAAGAGAAGGAAATTTTTAAAGAAGGAAGTAAAATTGGAAAAAAATAGGAAAGGAAGAAGTCACATTATCACTCTTTGTAAATTGTATGATCCTATACATAGAAGATCCAAGGAACTCCACCAAAATACTGGTAGAGCTAATCAACAAATTTGGCAAAGTAGCAGGTTACAAAATCTACATACAAAAATCAATAGCTTTCCTATACAACAACAACAAATTAAAAAAATTCCATTCACAATAGTCTCAAAAAAATTGCAAATTTACCTAGGGGTAAATCTAATCAAGGAAGTGAAAGACTTTTACACTTTTACAACAAAACTATAGAATACTGAAGAAAGAAAGTGAAGATGACCTCAAGATGAAAAAACCTCCCATGTTCATGGATAGGCAGAATTAATATTGTCAAAATAACCATGCTACCAAAAGCAATATACAGATTCAGTGCAGTCCCCATGAAAACACCATTGATATTCTTCACAGAACTAGAAAAAAAAGTTCAAAACTTCATTTGGAAGAATAAAAAATTCAGAAGAGCAAAATCAATTCAAAGCCCCAAAAATCGAGGCTGAAGGTATCACAATATCTAACTTCAAATTATAGTACAGAATTAGAGTAACAAAAAACTGCATGGGACAGGCATAAAAACAGACATATAGATCAATGGTGCAGAGAAAAGACACAGAGAGAAAAGACACAGAGAGAAATCCAAACTATAGAACAAATGAGCCCATTGGCTGATCCTGCAGTGTAGTCAAAAGCCAAGCCTGAGAAAACATTCCTTGTCAAAGGCAGGATGTATTAAAAGCCTTGACACTGGGCTCTGACTTCAGTAGTTATCAAATGTTTCAGTACAGTGGGTTTCCTGGGTACAGCAGTTTAGCCACAGTATGTTCTTAACACCATAAAAGCAGTATAGCCCCAAATGTTTCTAGCTTTATAATTTTTTAGTGCACAAAGAAGCCTCTTGATAACTCACAAGTCTTGAAAAATGTACAAATCTTCTGTAGTTGAACTTCCTGATTATGAGACCCTATATAATAAACTTGCCAAACTCATTGTGGGTCATTGTTCCTCCCTCTAAGAACAGTGTCCCACCTGGCCCCAGCTTTGCTTAAAAATGTCTGTTTTACTTTGTCTCTGTGTTTTTCTTAGTCTCCTATCACCCCTCCTCGAGATCCTTTGTTGTTGCTGTGCTGGTCATGGCACCATACACCTTTAGTCATCTGGTCCTTAACAAAGGTGCCAAAAATCACACATTGGAGAAAGGACAACCTTTTTCAATAAATGGTCCCAGGAAAATTGGTTATCCATATGTAAAAACATTGAACTAGACCCTTATCTCTCACCCTGCACAAAAAAATTAACTCTTTATGGATCAAATACCTATAAATTAGATGAAAATTCTGCAACTCCTAAAAGAAAATATAGAGTCACAGGCAATGACTTTCTTAATAGGACCTCTAAACCTCGGAAAATAATGCCAGGAGTTAATAAATGGGATAGCATTGAATTTACAACCCCTATGGAAATCAGTATGGAGGTTCCTCAAGACTAGGGATGGAATCACCATATGATCCAGCTATACCACTTCTTGTTATTTTTCCTGAAGAATTAAAGTCTTGCAGTGATATATGCATACTCATGTTTGTAGCAGCACATGTCACAATATAAGCTATGGAACCAGCCTAGGTGTCCATCAATGATGAATGGATAAAGAAAATGTGGTATTTTTACACAATGGAGTTTTATTCAGCCATAAAGAAAGAGGAAATTGTGTAATCTCCAGAAAAAATGGATGGAATTAGAAACCATCATGTTAAGTTAAATAAACTTATTTAACATTTAGTTAAATAAATTCGTGTTAATAACCATTGTGTTAAGTTAAATAAACTCAAAAGATTGAGGGCCACATGTTGTTTTTTTTTCTCATATGCTGAAGCTAGAGAGGAAAAAGGAAAATAAAGGTGGGATTGGTCTCCTAAAAACCAAATGGAGAGTAGTAAAGGAATGAGACTAATGAGTGAGAGGTAAGGAGGGAGGTGAGACGTAGTGGGGAGTGATATTGGCACAATTTTGTGTTGTCATATTATGTGTGTGTGCAAATATGTAACAACATATCCTATCAATATGTCCAACTATAATCAACCTATTAAAATGAGGAAAAAAAGAAATACAAAAAAATCACATTTTTTGGATCTGTGATTTTTAGCTCAAAAAATAAAATTACATTTGCTTAAAAAAATTTCAGGAGTAAATGTACAGTTTACATATCAGTTTTCTACTTTCAGCATCCCACCAATAAAAAGAGGATATAATAGACAAACAAACAATAAATCAATAGTTTAAGTTATTTGATTAGGCCCTTATTACCTCCCTTTCAATTAACTCAAACCAAGTAAACTTAATTATATCTGCAAGTTCATTTTGCCATTAAGTTAACATTATCACGAGTAACTCCCCATCCTATTTCCAGATCCTGCCCATGCTTACAGGAAGAAGCTTATAAAGAACAGGTGCACTGGGGCATGGGATCTTGAGGACCACCTTAGAATTCTGCCCATCATTGTTTCTATGTGTATGTGTGATTGGAAAAAAAAATCTCCCTGAAAGTTATGAATGGAATTCAGGGTAGTCCCTGAAGCCCTCATCATACTTTCCACCTCCTCCAGAAAGCAAAGATCACAAAAGAAGGTGGATCCAAAATGAGAATCTGTCTGCATTTCAACTGTTGATAAACACACATCTGCTTCTGTGCATTTCTTAATGGCCAAATATTGAACAACTTTGGACCATCAGATTCCAAAGAGATAGAAATGCAGAGGCTCAGTGATAATTCTGTAGTGGACAATGCTTTCTAACTCTCTGATTCTTTGCATAGTATGACATCGCTGGACACTCTGGAGATGACTACAATATTGCACTAGTTTCAATTAACAAAATCCCCAAGAACAACAAACAAAGACTAGAAATTCTAAAGGTAAATATGTTGTTATCTCTATACTGTGAAAACTTCTATGTGATTAGCTAAAGACTATATAAAAAGATTCACTGAAGAAGCAGTAGATATTAGAAAGAAAATGATGTTCTGTTTCACAAACTTTCAAGTTATAAACAGAAAACACCCATGAGACCTCAAACCCTTTTCTCCATCATCCAAATTTGAATTTACTCTGTGCTATTTTTAGAGTACTCAGTATTGGATTGGGATTATACATTTCAGTATTGCATTGGGATTCTGTAACCTGTGACTCCTCATATATGCTACATGTTCAGTAGAAGGAAAAGAATGATCCCTTGTAGAGTACTAATTTGTGCTTTTCTTAGTATCTTCTAATAATAAATTTAATTGCACATTACTTCAATCTGCAAGAAAAACATGCATGTCATGATTTAAAACAAATTTCCTCCATTGCTACTGATGTAAGTATAATATAACTTTATTGGAAATTTAATCCATTCCTTATTTTCACCCATGTGATACCAATTCTTATACTTTCTTACATCTTCTCACTTTAAATGGAAGCTTGAATTTTAAAAGTAATTATCAACAGTAATAGTTTGGACCATTTCCTTCTTTCTAACAAAAGTCTACCAAATGCAAATATTACTGTGTACTGTTGTTACTCTGATGTGCAAGTTAAATAAACTTGCTCAGAAACCTGTTACTGACTTGTAAAAATGCATTCTCACAGTCAATAGAAAAACCATCCTGTTTGTTCAAAGAAGCTTATCACCCCTAACTTTTGCTTTGACTCTTACCTCCAGACAATGCATGCCCACTCTCAGTTCTGCATGAGTGGAGACCACACGTTAATGGGGACAGAACATGCTATCAAGGAAATTGTCAAAGAAGAGGCTGATGAGTACTTTGTCATAGTCTTAAGTGATGCAAATCTGTCACGATATGGAATAAAACCTGCCACATTTGCCCAAATCCTTACAAGTGACCCTCAAGTAAATGCTTTTGCCATTTTTATTGGATCATTGGGTGATCAAGCAACCAGGTAAGTGTCATCTCAGGACACTGCAAAAGGCAGGCATAGATAGAATGAGTGTCTGTGTTTTAGTCAGTTTTTTTGCTGCTATGACTAAAAGATCTGACCAAAACAATTTTAGGGGAGGAAAAGTTTATTATAATGGACTCATTAAGATCTGACCAAAACAATTTTAGGGGAGGAAAAGTTTATTATAATGGACTCATTATTTCAGAAGTCTCAATCCATAGCTCAAGGTGTGGCTGAACATCATGGTAGAAGAGAGTGGCAGAAGGGAGCAGCTCACATGATCAGAAAGCAGAGAAATTCTACTCACCAGATACAAATATATACCCCCACTCCCTTCCCCATGCCCTACTTCCTCCAGCCACACCCCACCTGCATCCAGATACTACTCAATTAATTCCAGTAGGTGATTAATTCACTGATTGGATTAAGGCTTTTATAACCCAACCATTTCTTCTCTGAACCTTCTTACATTGTCTCACACATGAGCTTTGGGGGAACACCTCACATCCAAACCATAATAGCCTGACACAGGCTATCTGGTGGAATGAGCACCATAAGGGGAACTGAAGGACATATAGGAAAAACAATCTAGAGATGCCACTTAAGAGTTTGCAGTCTAGCTGAGGAGATGTGATGTTTTAGCTTATGTTTAGAGAAGCAATCATAAATTTAAATTCAAATTAACTGTTTTTCAGATTATGTTTAAACTAACAAACTAATTATCAAATTGGTTTGTTCATTAATGTTAGATAATATTTTATGCATTTGGCATCTTATATCAAGGTCCCAAGCATAGTCTAATCAGTTTGTGTCCAAATCATATTCAAAATAGTGAATATGTTAGTTTTCTTGGCATAAGACAAAAAGTGTATATTTGTGTCTAAATATTTTATATGTAGACATATATATAGACAGACAGACATGTAGATATACATACATGTATCTCCACATACTTGCTTCTCTAATAAGTGATATGAATGTATATATATATATATGTGTGTGTGTGTGTGTGTGTAAGTATCCACATATATGCCTATGTATGTGTGTGTATTTATACACATATATCTGCATGTGTGTGTGTATGTGTGTGTGTGTGCGCGTGTGCGTGTGTGTGTCCGCTGTTACTAGGCAGACAAAGCAGATGAAACACTTGGAAACTAATTAAGACACCATATATAGCTATATTCTACACTAAATATGCTGAATGTTCACTGAAGAAATTTATGGTCAAACAATAAATACCACTAAAGATGATCTAAAAGGAAAGATCTGGATAAACTTTCATAACTTAAATGTACTTATCTTTTAACATTTATCTTTTTGAATGACAAACCAAAATACCTCACATTTCTCTACATATAATATTTATTAAAAAAACAGAAAACACAGGTAAAAGTTTATCTGCTAAAACTAACAAAAAAACAAAACTAAACAAAAAATCTTCCTGAGCCCCAAAGGTCCTGTCTTTCCTATTTCTCCTCTTTAACCTGTTGTGGTCTGTGATTCAGAGACCATGAACTAGGAAAGGTTTTAGTATCCTACATGCTAACATCTTTCATCACCTTGCTACAGAATTACTGAGGAAGGTAAAGAAGAGACAATATTGTGTCATCACCATCACTTTAATACAACTGACTTTTATGCATTGGCACTTTGCATCTTCTAGAACCTCCTTGTCCTTGAAAGCAAACCATGCTTTTTCTAGTCCTGTTTTTCACAGCACATCCCAGTATTAGGCAGATAAAAACACTAGTTGAGCTGAAATGGCTACTTTGTCTTCTAGTAAACAGATCCTGTTTGAATACTTAAGGAAGCACAATAATACCCTTGTGATTTTCTAGGAAAATGGTCCAAAGCCACTGGCAAAAGATATGTTGCAGAATTTTCTGGTTTGCCAGGCGTGCCAAATGGATGATACTACACAGGATGGCTGACTTTTATGAAATGTCATTCCAAAACCAGACTCCATTGCCACAATGAAAAGAGACATTCCTTTGAATAAAATTGTATCTTGTGGTTTTATTACCTTCAAAAATGTTCTTTTGTTCCAAGTAATAAGTTAGTATTTTAAAAAATTACTGTAAGCTTATATAACCTCAGTATTATCAAAGCAGCAGTTGGAAAAACCAGACTGCATTACACATTTGTGTGAGTTGGAGCCAAAAAAGGAGAGGAGGGTAGAGAGAAAATAAAACCACTCAGGATTTGGCTGGACAAAATTCTTGGAGCCCTGTTTTCTAGAAGGCAAAGCATTTAGATGTCCAGTATGAGGCCAACACATTTGCTGAACCCAGGTGAGCTAATTCTAGTTGGGTCCCTAGGGCTCTGTTCTACTAAGGAAATATACAATAGCAGAAAATAACAGTCATGAAAAGGAGAAATTTTTTTTCCTTTCCACATCCACTCGTTTTCTTACTGCAAAGACCTTCTTTATGGTTTATTGCTTTTACTCTCTGTCTCCCTGTTGCTCTTCCAGGACTTTCATTATTTAGTGACAGCCAAAATTAAATTGCAGGCAGTAAGCAAGGTATTAGAAAGTAAAAACTTCCTTTCCTAAAATCCCACTTGGATATGATTTGCCAAGGAGGAAGATGGAAAGGGATCCTCAATTTGCAATGGTAACTTTCTTTTCCTTCCCCTCCTGGCAGGCTCCAGAAAACCTTACCAGCTGGCAGGTCTTTCATTGCCATGGATACCAAGGACATCCCTCAGATTTTACAACACATCTTTACCTCCACAATGTTGTCAACTGTTTAAGAAATGCCCTCCACTGGCATAACGACCCAGGATTTAAAACAAGAAAAAGGAATGTTCTAAAGAGAAGACATCTATAAAGCAAACCCATGCAATGACTATATAATTCTAGCATTGCTTGCTTCTTCCTACACTGACTCCATAATCAGGATTCAGAAGAGCAGCCAGAAGCAGACTTGTACCTGTAAATCTCCAGCCACTGATGGGTTTAGAAATCCTCAGTGGAAGCAAGTTGACCTTCACATTATGCAAGGTCATGGTTAAAGGAAATTGTCATGAGAACTACAGTGTTTGGACTGTTTCAAAAACCTGAGAGGTAAAGAATCCTTGCTTTTGCCTTAACACATCATCTGTCACCTAAGAAAAGAGAAACAACCCCATCACACTGAAACTCTGAGACCATGTTCTGACATTGGGATCAAGTCTGTGCAAACCCCACCCAACATGCTGCTATCTCATAATTATTTTTATTTTCTCCCTCCTCTGGATTGTCTAGAAAACAACAGTTTTATAGTATTTAACCCACTGAAAAGACCCTCCAACAGCAATATTTTATAAAAAGTTGGATTTTCTCAATAATTCCATTTTCTTGGCCAAAGCCAAAAGAAATCAGGAGATCCTTAGAGTGCTTGATTTCCTGGGTGAGTTTTAAAAGGCTCTTTGAATAACAAAGAACAAATGTCCTGTTCTCCCTGCCACCACATGGAAGAATAAAGATACCTGTGTGAAGTTCCTGGTTCTTCTTGTCCTTCTAGTGCTTCTCAAAAGGTTCACACTACACTATTTTGGTGTTCAAAGCACAATGCTCAAAATAACAATTGCTTGTAAGAGGCTATCTATTGAGAACATTCATATAAAATTACTTAATACAACATAAAAGGCATTATATTTGAACTAAATGGTGATTGGGCATTTATTTAGCTGAAAGAAAGTGAGGAAGGGGAAGAAGGAAGAAAGGGAAGATTCTTGAAAACTAAATTCTTAAAATTTAATAATAATAATGTGTCAAAATGCATTCTACTGACATGCATAACTAATTAGAATTAAAAAAGAATCAAAATAAATTAATTAAAGACACAAAGCCTTAGAGAAGCTCAACTCAAGAAAATCAGCCATGCTCAGAGGCAAGCAGGGACACCAAGTGGGCTAATGCTTATGGCCCCTCTCACCCCATACCTCATGCTGCTGCTTATAGACCTACATGTATATCTTGCTTCTACTGCCTAATTCTCATTTTTTTAGTCCAGTATCCTTTCTGTAACTGGTCCACATTCATAGAGCCATTTTCTTTTCCCTTATCTTTCAAAAACCACATCTAAACACATTCACGCAATTCAGAGGACATGGAGCACTGCTGGGAGACATTTCTAACTTCTCCTACCTTCCTGGGCACAGCAGTAAAGCTGAGGAAATGCCCATCTGAATGGCAGCTTAATTCCAAGGGATGCCCCTTTGCTAGTGGGTTCCTACCTCATAAAGCCTTTGGAAGTTAAATCTAAGAATGATTAAAGGAACAGTCTTTTATCAAATCCTCTCCATGTATAACTACTTGAGTGAACAAAAGTCATACTTTTTAAAACAAGGAAAGAATATTCTAAAGTAATTTAATTTCCTCTTCCAAACTAGTCAGATATCCTTTGCAATTGTTGTTTTTTTAAAAAAATGGAAAAATGAAAATAAAAAACAATAGAGCGCCTGGCTTTTCTTAGTTTATTTTTTAATTTTAATTAGGTATATATGACAGCAGAATGCATTTTGATTCCTTGTACACAATTGCAGCACAATTGTACATGATATAGCATCGCACCATAATGTGCAGTCATACATGTACCTAGGGTAATGATGTCCAGCTCATTCCACCATCTTTCCTACCCCCATGCCCCCTCACCACCTTTCCCTCCTCTTTGCCCCATCAAAGTTCTCCATTTTTCCCATGTCCCCCCAATTACAGATCAGCATCCACTTATCAGAGAGAACCGAATTCGGCCTTTGGGATTGGCTTGCTTCACCTAGCATGATATTCTCCAACTCCATCCATTTACCTGCAAATCTGGCTTTTCTTAATTTGTATTAGGGAAGAATGGTGGAGGAGGGAAGGGGGAATAAGATGGTTTGTTTTCATTTCTTGCAGTACCTAAGAACTATGTGCATTTATTATTAAATGCCACTGTCCAGATATGAATTCTAAGTATCCTTCTTCTCAGAACCTCCAGGGCAGACTTCTGGGCTACCCAGCCACTGACCCTGGCCCTGACTAGAGCCCAGAGTAATGACAGGTCAATAGAGAAATCCTCCGTACCTGGAGCAACTTCATGATGTGGCTCTTCTCTTTAACTTGTTTATGTTTTTCCTTCTTGAAAATGAGCTAAGAACCTTCTTAACCAAGATTACAAGTTGGGTCGGTGATGAAAGTTCTGTGCTGTGCAAAAGGAGCCCTCAGGAAGGAGCTTGCACATTTTCAAGTTCTTCTGTTGAAATGGTTTGCTCTGTGACAAAACAGGAGTTTAGGAAGGAGGATCAGAATTAGCCCAGCCTTGGTTGAGGCTGCCCGGGATTCCTGGTTGGAGGTCATGGCTGTCAAGTGTTTCCACCCTACACACAACCCAGTAAGACCCCAGATACATATATCCCTAGAAGACTTGGGGGAAAAAAATGATTGGGCCCATATTCCCAAACCCAGGTAAAACTATCCTTCAATAAGTCACTTTACAAAGTCACTTCACAACATGATTTGTGAAATGGAATGGGTGAGCAGATGAACAGATGGGTGGATAAATAAAAAATTGCCTGGGCAGGTAGATGAGTAGAAGAAAAAGTCTACACTGTTTAAAATACTGAAGAAGAAAGGAGATTACCAGGACTCTTATTAATATCCACACTAATTATAGGATAACAGAGGTGGAGTCTCAGCTTTAGCTCAGGCAGGAATGCTGCCATATTTGCTGGAGTGGCACCAGAGGCCACCCCAAGTCCATCCACATGAGAGATAAGGAGTCACCAGGAAAGAATTTCACCCAAGACATACAAGCTTGATCCTATTATAAAATCTTGAAGTGGCAGGGGCAAAAATGGTTGTGTAACACTGAACATGAACTTGTGTCCAGGTCAGCCCCTGGTGTCAAGCAGACACCCAGGTATCTCTGCCCAGAGGACACAGTAACATTTTTTCTAGATGAGCCTGAGGCAGTTCCAGGACCCATGCTGTCCAGCAAGGCACAGAAGCTTTGACAACAGATGTCAAGTATATGGATATTGGATTCAAATCATGTCTCTTGTTCTAACTAGTTTTCTTTCCTAAGGAAGTTTCTCTTGTTTTCTTTTTTTTTCAATATTTCATACTGAAAAATATATATCATAAAATTCATACTTTCAAAGTGTACAATTTAGAATATAGTTTGGAACTTTTTATTTTAATTATGCAAATATCACCACTACCTAATTCCAGAATATTCTCATCAGTCCCCAAAGAAACCCATACTCCCTAGTAGTCACTTTTCCATTGCTCCTCTCCCCAGCCCTCAGCACCACTAAACTTTCTATCTCAATGGGTTTGCCTTTTCTGAATATCTCAAATATATGCTTTATACAATATCAGGCATTATTTGCTTCTTTCAATTGTAATATTTTTAAGGTTCTTTTTTTGTGCAAATAATATTCAGTTGTAAGAATATACATTGTATTTATCCATTCATGAGCTGATGGGCTGGCTGGCTATATGATGATTCTGCTGTGAACATTTTTATTTTGTTTCCAGTTCTCTCAGGTATATAACCAGGAATGGAACCGATGGCTCATATGATACCTCTATGTTTAATTTTTTGAAGAACTGTCCAATCTGTTTTCCAAAGCAACTGCATCATTTACATTCCCACCAACATACAAGGTGCCAATTTCTTCACATCCTTCCTAGCAATTCTTTGTCTTTGTGACTAGAATCATCCTGGTGCATGGGAAGTGATACCTCATTGTGATTCTAATTTGCATTTCCTAATGACTTAGTAATAATAAGCATTTTTTCAGGTGCTTATTGGTCAATTGTCTATCTTCTTTGTAGAAATTTCTATCCAAATCCTTCTCCCATTTTAAACTATTGTCTATTTATTATTCAGTTTTAAGAATACTTTATAAATTCCTGGGCCAGGTGCCATGGCTCTGCTTGTCATCCCAGCAGTTCAGGAAGTTGAGACAGGAGGATGGCAATTTCAAAGCCAGCCTCAGCAAGGACGAGGTGCTAAGCAACTCAGTAAGACAAGACCCTGTCCCTAAATAAATTACAAAATAGAACTGGGGATATAGCTTAATGGTCAAGAGCCCCTGAGTTCAATCCCTGGTACCAAAAAACAAAAACAAAAAAAGAATTCTTTATAAATTCTCAATGCTAGACCATTATTGCATATGGTATTCGAAAATACTTTCCTCATTCAAAAGGTTGTTTTTGTTTGTTTTGTTTTGGTTTGTTTTTTTGTTTTTTTTTTTTTTTTGGTACCAGCAATTGAACATAGGTGCACTTAGCCACTGAGCCACATCCTCAACCTTTTTTTTTTTTTCTTTTGAGACAGGGTTTTGCTAAGTTAATGAGGCTGGCTTTGGATTCCTCCTGCCTCTGCCTCCCCAGCCGCTGGGATTACAGGCATGCACACCTGCTGTATGTTCACTCTCATGGTGATATCCTTTGAAGAAGTTTTTAATTTTGATAAAGCCTAATTTATCCATTGTTTTCTTGGTTGCTTGTGCTTTTAACATCGTATCTAAGAAGCCATTGTCTAATCCAAAGTCAAAGATTTATGCAAACATTTTCATCTTAGAATTTTGAGATTTTAGCTCTCAAATTTATATCTGTCTCATTTTGAGTTAATTTTTGTATATGATGTGATATAAGGGTCAAACTTCAAAAATATTCAGTTTCCCAGCACCAATTAATGAAAAAATCATTATTTTCCTTTGTCAAAAATTAGTTGACCAGGGCTGAGGTTGTGGCTCAGTGGCAGAGTGCTTGCCTAGCATGAGGCAAACCCACAAGGCACTAAGGCACTAAGTTCGATCCTCAGCACCACATAAAAATAAAATAAAGATATTGTGTCCACCTAAAACTAAAAGAATAATTAAAAAAAGAGTTGACCATAAATATATGGGTTTATTTCTGGACTTTCAATTAGATACCATCTGACAAGAACAATTTTAAAGGAGGAAACTTTATTTGGGGCCTCACAGTTTCAGAGGTCTCAGTCCATAGACAGCTGGCTCCATTCCTCAGGGCTCCAGGTAAGAGAGGATATCATGGCAGAGAGTGTGATGGAGGAAAGTGACTCAAGACCTCACACCAGGAGTCAGAGACAGAGACTCCAATGGCCAGGGACAAAGCATATATCCCAGAGGTACACTCCCAATGCCCACCTCCTCTAGCCACATCCTACCTGCTTTCAATTACCACTCAGTTAATCCCTATCAGGGGATTAATTCACCAATTGGGTTAAGGCTCTCATAATCCAATAATTTCACCTCTAAATCTTGTTTCATTGTCTCACACATGAACTTCTGGGAGATACTCCGTATCTAAACTATAACAGCTTATGTTCAATAAATACATTTCCCATGACTGATAGATTCCAACTACTAAATGACAAATATTTAATCTCTTCTACCTAACAGTCTAAATTAATGTTATTATAAATTTATACAAATGGCAGATTAAGTCAGTAATTTTATTGAAGGTCATAATTCCATCTCTCCTTA